AAATACCTTGGTTCCTTCATTATGTGCCCAAAGGAAAAGATTTTGAAACTAGAAAAGCCCTAGCATGGGAAGCATGCAACAAATTGGATAAGATCTGGAAGTCTAATATCCCTAACAAATTGAAAGTCCAAGTTTTTCTTACCCTTGTAGAACCGATACTGCTTTACGGTGCAGAAAGTTGGACACTTACCTGTCAGCTTCAAAAACGATTGGACGGGACTTATACAAAACTCTTGCGGAGGGCACAGAATATATCTTGGAGGCAACATGCCACTCTCAAAAAAATTTATGGAGGACTCGCAAGACTGTCTCAAAAACTTACCCACCGTCGAGTTATGTTCGCTGGACATTGTTTCCGAGCCAAGCAAGAAATTGTTTCATCTGTACTCATGTGGAAACCACGTGGACGAGTGCACTCCAGAAGTTTGACATTCACCGATACCTTAGTTAGAGACACTGGAATTGACTTTGATGACTTAGAAAATGTAATGCTTGATAGGGCTGTATGGAAAGAAATCTGCACTAGCTTAGTCCCGGCTGTTAGCCGATAGATGATGATGATGACCAACCTACCTACCTAGTCCCAGGACCAAAACCACAAGAGCCATGGAAAGTTGGAAAATGCAGGCTTCACAATCTTTACACAAGGCCTTGAAATGATATCTCATCTCCACAAAGTCATGCAATAAATTCACTTTACACGAAGAACCTACTCCAAGTCAGTGTGCTGTTTAAAGTTTTCCTGGTAAATAGCCAACACTGCAAGAGTTGGTCCTACCCTGACTTTGACTGAAGAACTTCATGTTTAATTTGTATATCAGATGCATGTAGCCAGAGGACACAGGTCATGTTTGTAGGACCGACATCACTTTTGGATCTTCAACAGTTCTTCAACTGTTACACTATTTAATGGGCTTGGGTACCATTATTGGCCACTGGGATGGATCAGACAGAACTTACAGTAGGTTTAACGGAAGTGACTAGTATAGGGAAGTTATTTTTCTTTGATATAATCTCATAAGGATATAATCGTTTCCATGAAATGTCAGTTGCCTTCTAGAAGTAGAACGATGACACACTGCTTCAAACTAGAATAGCAACTTTCCAATCAAAATTACTTGTTGCTTTAACTTAGTTCAAGCTATAGGGAAAAAAGAAAACTTCTTACAGCTCCTTACACACTGTTACAACCCGTACCTTTCGGTTTCTCCCCCATGTTGCGCACCATGTTGTAGAATCCCCGGCTGCCTTTCAGATCAGCTTCCAGTAGCCAGGGCTCAGACCGCGAGCGGCGATTCTTCACTTTCTGTTTGGCTGTCGGTGAGTAACTGTCACAGTCGTCTGATATCTCATCCTCACTGCTGCTGGTACAGGGGGAACTGCACGCCTCCTCGGAGTCTATTTTACAGATCAAAAATATGACATTGACACAATGTTATAAACACATAATATATAGGCCAAAACAACTGCTTTGTACAAAAATAAAAGCCTGAACACTTGTCAAATTATTTCCCAGAGTCAAGGTGGCAAAAACATTGAAGTGTACATCTTTTATGTGTATGTTTTTCTCAGAGAAATCTTGTGGTACAGACATTTGATAAGGAAAATTAATGATTTCGCCAAAAAATGATCGTGCTAAAATTGGGGTTGAAAGTAACGCTGCTACATTGCCTAGTTCAATACTTCAAGCATTCTGACCAAATTCTGACAATTTATAAAGTTTCTGTAGAGTTATGACAAGATTTGTCACAATTCTTAGACCCAAATTTTGCAAGTTATGAGACTACATCAGCCCATTCTGAAGGTCATTGTGACCTTGTGTACACGTAGGCCATGTTCACCATTTAGGGTTACATGTTTTACAGAACATTACATACAAGATTAAATCAGAATATCACATACGACATCATAACAAAATCAGTGCAAGACCTTGTACTGCAAAGCTGTACCTTCTTTGATAGGTGACCACTGTCTGAAGAAAGCCATATGAATGGAAAATGTCAACTCATTTCTTAACCTCAAAACATTCTGCAGCACACTGTCACCTTTGCCCTTTGAAAAACTGGAATCCCCCATTGACTGTACTTATTCTGATGCAAATGAACAGGTAGTACAGGGTCATAGATATACTGTATTCTATAAAAAAAAGTACTTAACCCTGAGTTGTCATTTTCATGATTGTTTCAACACCTGTTAACTGACCAGCAAACTATTACAGGTGAAAACACATCCTCCATGGTGAAGACAGCCACTAATTTCTGCATATCTGCTACACTTTCGATGTTTTAATTGTATAATATCTGATGTCAATTTCTTTAGTTTCCTTGTCCTGGTAAATAAGGCAATTCACTGAGAAGTGAGATTCACTTCTCCTACTATGGGCTTACCCATACAGCAAGTATTGGCTAGAAAGAAGAAGTGAGCATGAAGACAGTTAATTCTGACCAAGCCGTGTTCTGACGTAAGAGACTTCCTGGATTTATATGTACTGTACCTGAGGGTGTTAGCTTAATTGTTATTCAGAACAAGACAAATATGTGCTGGATATACTGTAATATCATACCCTGAGGCCAGTCTTGCTTTTTGTCATTTTTTTGTTGCAAATATTACTGGTCCTGTTGAAAATTTTAACTGTAGATGTAAAATGTGTAAATGTGTCACAGTTACAGCATTGATGAGCCATTGTTTCAAATATCAGCAGCACCTCCTAGAGGACTTGGTGAGGATTGCAACCTGGAAAACGTCACTTCAGTACTGTAAGTGAAGCAATTTATAATGAAGTCTCTAACTACTAGTACTATTATGATTATAGTTGACAAAAATTGATGTATTTCCTACAGATGTCTGGTCACGTTTTTATCAAGCGTTAGACCAGTTAATAACATGAACAAAGTCATGCACATCTTGTTTGAGTCAGTCAAGGTTCCTCTCGTAGCCTACCATTTCAGGCCTCGAGGCGAAACCTAAGACTAGTGGCCGGATGAGGAAACCAGAGGCACTGATGAGTAAAACGGTTTGGGAAGTTCTCCCATGCAGCCCTGGGGCAAGGCCATACATGTAGTTCTAGGTTCAATGGTGGAGTTATTGGTACAAGATGGACCACAGCTGTTACTTCAGCCATTTGTGCTAATTATCAACCTGCGACTTCACGTAAAATAACCATGAAAAGTATTTAGGGTTGACCTGTGTGCTTGGCTGTGTGCTTGACACTTGCTTTGGAGCAGCTTAAGCTATCAAAAAGCTTTATACATGTACTTTTCACTTAAACTTTAAGTTCTACTTGCTTTGTTGCTTTCTGGTAAGGTTACACAAAAGTCATGTGTTTACAGGACTCATACTACTTTACTCCAATGCAATCTACTTAATTCTACAAGCATCACAAGTCAAATGATACTAGCTAAATGAATGTAACATACCTTTTTTTTTGCCACTGTTTCAATGCTAGCACCTTTTCCAAGTACATGTATACACCCTAAATGTGAATCAGTCGCGTACAAATGTACGTACAAGTCATAATGATATTCATTGATAAGCGGCAACATTGTCTGAAGTTATTTCCGTTCTTCTAAAATTAAACTACCCCCTGAAAGAAACATGTTTATGGATGCATTGAAAGAATTTTTGCTTCACACTAACAGTCTCTCAGCCTGGTTCCTGGGACAAACAAAAAATACATGTAGTTTAGAATTTGTCATTTCTAAGTTAAGATGAATATAGAAATTATGACCACAAATAAATATACTGCCTAAATTTTTAATACTACTTAATAACTTTGTAACATTTTTGGGTTACAAAAAAAAGAAAGACAGATCTGCAAGTTTCTATTCTCAGAAATCACCACAGATAGAGGTAGGGTGTATAATGATTTGTAAAGAAAGGTACTCGGTATAACTGGTAGTTTAGGAGACTATACAGCATTTGTTAATTCATGGGAGGGATAAGAACTGGGCAGCAGGATATCCTCTCCTCAATTATCAAAGTTGAGGTCTGGTGTGGCTGGGAGGAAGTGTCCTGAGCTGAAGGACAGACGTGTACTGAAGTGTATAATATATACATGTACATGTGCAGGACTGAGGCATTGTTCCATGGTGAACTGGTTAGTGTGAGCTCACACAGGTTGTGGTCAGGATGGACTGCCATGTGGGTGATGTCATCTGGGTCACAGCAGTGTGGTTCTTGTACTGAACATGGTTGGATCATTACCAAAGAATGGGGAGAAAGATTAAAAAATCAACAGTTACTATGACAACATATACAAATTTTGTTTCAAAACATTGCAACAACCCAGCGTAAAATCTGGCATTTTTTAAAATAGAAAAAAACTTTTTGTACTACTCTGAATTTACTAAGAAAATAGAGCTAGTAAACATGGTAGAACAGTTTTGTTTAAACTTCATTTTCCACTAAAAATGGGCCCTACCTGTATATTCTAAAGCTTGAACTCCTAGTAAGTCACTCTGAGAACCCTCCATGAGTCCAGTGCTGCCCTACATTTATCCTCAAACCCAACAGTGTCCTGTGGTTAGCAAATTCCCCTGCAGTGACATCATCTGGTTTGTAGTCTTACCCCGGAGGCAGGCTGTACCAGGGACTGGGTTTACTGTCGCCTGGGTGATATAAACTAACTCTGCTGACTAAAGCTAAACTTTGGGGGTAATTAACAAGAAAACAAGCTTGGCCTGCTTCCTTTTTTTAGCAACAAAATATGTACATACCATCTCAATGATATCCCTCTGAAATCGTATAAAAGCTGGGAGACAGTCAAACCATTTGTTCTGGGTAACCAGGCCGAGACAACCCACATGTGGAACTTGTTCAACTTTTGACCTCTGCGGCTTTTCCAAGGCCAAGGTTGATTCCACTTCAGGAAACCATGTATCCCATGACCCTGTTGACCTTGAAAATTGCTCGCAACAGCAGAAAAACCTACATTCTAATTCAGATGAGACAAAAATTGAAGTTGGGCTGTACATGTGTCATATCCAAGGTTGATCAT